CTGGATATAGTTTTGCCACGTTGATCTGAGAAGTTAGAGCGCTGAAATCTTAGAAGGATATCCAGAGCTGTTTGTGCTTATCCAGAGTTGTTTGTCCCCAATTAAAATCCATCGTTTGCATTTTCCATGACATGCAGCACCTTGTTCACTAACAAAAGTGATTGTTAGTCATACTCATCATCAATTTGTATAGGGTAGTTTTTTGCGAGAGATTTGTTTTTGTTAAAAAATTTTTTAAAAAAATCCTATATCTTTTTTTTTTATAGGTGAAAACTGCTCGTGAAAACTTGTGCAGCGATGAAAAAACAATTGCAAAAGGGCGCGAAAGATGTCGCAGAAAAATGGTAACGTGATTTGAATCCTTGCTTTTAAATAATGGACGTATGGGTGGGAAAATTATGGCAGTTGTTGAGGTTTTGGGGTTTTGTTTGGGATATCCGTAGATTTGATTTTTTTGAACGATTTTTTTTTATTTTACTTTTATATCGACTTCTCCCTTATTGTACTTGTTTTTTGAAAATTGGTTATTATATAAGCAGACTGTAGCAAACAGGCTAACCCTGAAAGCCTAAATGGCGAAACCGCGATAGATTACAATATGAGGGAAGGGGATAAGAGTGAGATAAGACTACGCCTTAACTCAACACCGTGACAAGACTCGTCAGGTACGACGGTCACAGTGCTTGATGGAAATGGAAGAGAAAGGAAGAAGACGACAGAAAGAAGCAGGAGAAACGACGATCTGATAGTGGGATTAGATGGAGTAAGAGTGGGGTGAGGAAGAAAGGGAAAAGAAAGGAGGAAGAAAAGGATTTTAGGAAAAGATTTTAGAAAAATTTTAGATTTTTGAAGTAATTAATCGGCTGACGACTTGATATCTGGTGGTGTAATACTTCCGCAAATAATGCTTCCGCATTTTCAGGATGAATTTTTGAAAAAGAAGGGAACACGTAACGTCATTGAGCAGCAATTGCGATCAAAGCTAGCAAAGTACAGTCTTATGAATTTGATTACATAGCTTTTTTGTAAAAATCTTCCATGTGCTATCACCCGAAATACCTGGAATAACTATTAAATAATAATCTTAACCTTTCTGTAGGACCAGCAACTTTTTCATTAACTATGAGATTGAGCTTTCCACCCTCCGCAACTCGCGCTGCTGGTTTTACTGCAATTTACGTGGCCGTCCTAACGATTCCCACTTCTACCCGCATGCATAGTCCGGTCTGTGTTTACAGCTAAGGGATGAAACACACAGGCTGCATCGTAAAATGTCTTTTTGTACATGACATCTAAGTTCAGTCCCCCTTCCTGTACTATTCATCTTGACGCACTGTCAAGCCATTTCAAGTGTTGTTACTG